TTCGCCATAGAGGCTCATTTTACCTTGTTTTTATAATGTCCAAGCAAGACTGAAAGTACTTGGCAAAAAAAGGACAAAGAGAAGAGAAAGAAACGGCACAGATGTTTCTACAATGTTGCGCTGTCATTTTTCATTCGTGATAAAGGTGTTATTTCATAATTGCAGCATATGTTAGGATAGATTACACTTTTGTACGTTGGAATTTAAATAACCAAAACTTAGAGAAAAAGAAAACAACAAAAACGGCGCTGTCCACCATCAATCACACACACTTACACTTTTGTATGGGAATTTTTTGTTTCCGGACTTTAACAAGCACATATGCAAAGGGAAAGGACTTTTTGTTGTTTGTTCTTTTTGACAAAGCAGCGCATTTCTTTCTTCGTTGACACAGACATGATTCTATTCCATTGGAGCGAACATGCCGATCAAGCTTTTGTTACAGAAGATTTTTTTCTTTTTAAATTATTATTAAGAATAACAAGTATGTACCTATTTCGATTTTGTGCTCAAAGGTTTCAACAGGGTATGGTATAAAAGGGGCTCTTTTTTTTTTCTTTTTTTTACGTGGTTCACAAGGCTCCACTAGTTTTCAACTCGAAAAGTGTGGGAAAGCTGTATTTTATCAGATTTCACATTGTTTTTTTTTGCACTTACATAAAGAAAACTGCAAAAAGCAAAATACAGAAGATGAAGATATGTAACATAAAAACCTCGCCCTGCAAATAAAACTCAAAACAATAAGAACAATAGAAACTACGTCTTTTCAATTGATATCCATTCCTTCATTATTCTCAACACCTCCTGCATTGCTCTCTGCTACAGGTTGCAGCTCCGTCACACTTGTCTTGGGCCTGCCCCCACCTTTTCTCCCTTTTCTGATCTCCTCAGTCGCAACTGTCGACTTTTTCTTTCCCTTCACTTTCTTCTTGGTACCTGCCTCCTGACTGCCGCTCGCAACTCCTTCTTCCTGTCACTCAAGCCATCGTTTCTTCATCCCTGCACGGCAGAAAACAAGGCAAAGTGTGCTCCCTTGTCAGAATCGATGCAAAAAAAAAAGAGTGTAATGTATGAAAGAATTTGCATACTCTCATGACAAAGCCGAGCAAAAAAAGAGCTCTGCTCGTCTTAATTAGATCTATATTAACAAGGTAAAGAGCATTTATCACGAATGAAAATGGAGAACGCAACACGACCATTTCTCTTTTTGCATCCATTTTGACCAGGGTGCGATACTCTCGAGGTCAACTTGGCCCTGACCCATAGCGCAGGAGTATGAGTAGAAGGATAAAGCTATTTGTTTTGCACCTCACAACCCAGAATAAAGAAATAAAAAGAGTGATGGTAAACGTACATAAAGAGATAACTAAACAGGGAAGTACAAAACAAACACAAATCCTTAGAACACTCGATAAAAGTACAAAGAAA